TCCATGCCCAGCTACCTTCTGTATTTTTTGTAGACTTGGGGTCTGGTTATGTTGCCCAGACTGATCTCAGACTCCTGGGCATAAGCAATCCACTGGCCTCAGCTTCCCAAAATGCTGGGATTACAGCTGTGAACCACTGTGCCTGGCCTTAATTTTTTAATGTAATAAATTTTGACATTTCAGAAATAAGCCCACCTTGCAGCAATGTACTGTAGTGTTCTTTTCCTGTGCTACTTGATGGTTAGTATTTTGCAGAGAATTTTTGAACATTTGTAACTGAGGGCCCTCTGCTGTTTTCTTTGTCGTGTAGCCTCAGTCAGGTGGAAGTGGCAATAATGTAGGCATTCCATGATTACAACAGCCTTAAAAGACAAAGATAAAGACAAGGCTTCTCGTCTTTATATGCTCTGAACACCCAAAATAACCTTGAAACTGTCTGCTATTAAAAGGTTCTGTCGAATTCTACAAAACTAACTGTGTGTGGTGCTTTGGCAAGAGTGTAGTAACCCTGCTCTTTTGTGGGGTTTTCTTTTTTTAAAAAAATTTATTTTATTGTGTTTTAGGTTTTGGGGTACATGTGAAGAACATGCAAGATTGTTGCATAGGTACACACATGGCAGTGTGATTTGCTGCCTTCCTCCCCATCACCTATATCTGGCATTTCTCCCCATGTTATCTCTCCCCAACTCCCCACCCCCCACTGTCCCTCCCCTGGTTCTCCCCCACAGACCCCAATGTGTGATGCTCCCCTCCCTGTGTCCATGTGTTCTCATTGTTCAACACCTGCCTATGAGTGAAAACATGCGGTGTTTGATTTTCTGCTCTTGTGGTCAGTTTGCTGAGAATGATGGTTTCCAGGTTCATCCATGTCCCTACAAAGGACACAAACTCATCGTTTTTGATGGCTGCATAATATTCCATGGTTATTCTACAGAAATTAGTAGGCTTATATTTCCTGTGACTACTTCTCATGTTGTCTTACAGAGTAGTAGTTTTGCTCTCAACAGCCATTTATAAGAAAAGAGATCACCAATAGTCACTCTGTATGGAGTGATGCTTCTATAGAAGCCTGCATTTTATTAGCTTAACGGCATCACTGGAAGGATTGGAGTAATTGTTGTTGGCACCACAGCTGCCCTGTCCTGGGCTCCTGACTGTCCCCAGCTACACCAAGTGCTGGCCAAGAGCAGCCCACGGCTGCGGACTCCTCCTGAGAATGGCCCTGGCCAGTGGAAGCCTGCACATTTGGAGCACGCACAGCTTGTAATTGACACACCACACAGCCTTGCCTTATACTCTAGGGCTTCCTGCTGGGTCAGCCAGAGACTGGACCTCAGCACAGCCTCCCCTCACCCCATCCTGTCTTCCTGATTCAATAAGCCCCTGCCGGAGCATCCCCAACCCCACCTCTGCAGCAGAATGGCCTGGCTTCAGGCACGTTTTTATGCAAAGCATTGCTCATTAAGTGCAGAGCATTTTTTGTGTCCATACAGCTTGGCATGGCCTCACCCCGACCCCAGCAATCAAGGGTCTCCGTGTGGGGAACCAGAGCACTGGAAAAGGAGAACATCAGACACTTCCGTGCAGGGTCCACGCTGCCCCAAATGCCACCAGTCTGTACCTGGAGGGTGATGCCCATAAACTAAAGACCCCATTCCTCTCCATAGATTTCAGCGGCCTCGACCTGCCTATGGCCCCGCCGTGGCGACGTCACCCTCACGCTGGCTGGCCCCTGTTAAGGGGCGTTAAGGAAAGCGTGTTTATCTGAATGCTGCCTGGCGCAGTTTCTGTTTTTGACGCCTTTTGCTTGCCGTGTTTGACGGCTGCCAAGCTCTGTTTTCCGCCTCAGTGTGCTGCCTGGTGCAGATGGCCCTCGCGGCTCGAGGGGAGAGATGACGATGTCCGTCCTCTCCTTTCCCCCATATTAAATTGGTCAGCCTTGAATTCGGTCGTTCTTCATTAAAATCTTCTTATTTCTCATTTGAACTATATGATACTCAAGCACATCGTCTGGCTTCTGCCTCCCCCTCGTCCTCTGTGTAAATTTCCCGAATCCTGTGGATTCAGTGCTTGCTTTGCTCTCTGGGTCCCTCCCGCCGGGCCACTCCCAAGGGCGCTTCCTGAGTCCTCCCACGCAGTGTCCAGGCCCGGCCTCCTGCCCAGTGTCCTGGCCCCTTCTCTCCTCCTGTGCAACTCAACACTCAATCATGGGCGACAGGACTGCTGGCCCTTTCACTGATCCCATTGTCTGTTAGTGAAGAGCTGGTATCTTCAGGGTTGTACTCCAGGCCTCTGTGACTACTTTCCACTTGCCTTTGAAGCTTAGCCCACCACTGTCTCACACATCTCCGATGGGTTTCAAAGTAAGTTCATTGTCCCACAGAATGCACCTGTGCCCTTTCCCATCGCTGCCTCTGGCCGCCATGCCCATTCTGCCTAGGACGCCTCTTTCCACCACCTGTGCAGAAGCTCCCGGTTGAGTCCATCCCTCTCCCTCTCTTCCCTCCCTCTCCCTCTCTCATGCTGGTGACATTGTGTGTGCAGCACTTCGGGGACATTTACCACACAATGTATCCTGTTGTGGGCGTTTCTGACTGCCTCACCTCCCTAAGTCCAGACTTCATGTCTGCCATGTGAGGAGCATGGTGCTGGCCACAGGAGTGGGATTAATGAAAGCTGAATACGCAAACAATGCATTTCTTGGGCCTCATAATTGTGCTGAGTGTGGCAGAGCCTGGAGCCAAACAGAGCTGGGAATTAATGAGGGGTGAAGGGAAAGCAGTTGCTTTTTTCTACAGCTCCAATTTCCACAGAACCCGAAGAGGAGGAGCAGGCCAGGGCCTCACAGGCCACAGCACCTATTCCCGAAGAGTTGTGTGTTTCCACCAGAGACTGTATGCACAGGGGCCATGAACACTGAAACTCATTAGGAAATCATTATCAGCTTGTTTCCTGTTTCTCTGAATACCTGCTTCCAAGAAGCTGGAACTGCAGAGGGATTTCTCCATCATGATGGCGTCCTCATGAGCCATTTCTCCACAGTCCGCATGTCACTGACTGCCTGAGTGACACGCAGACCCTCCCCTGGCAGGGTCAGTGGCAGCCGCCCACCCCGCCTCCCTGTAGCCTTAGATCCTGGTCCCATCTGCTCCTGAGACCCCCGCTGGGAGGTAGCACCCGCCCCCAGAATGGCTGAGAGAGGAGGATGCCTGGGCCTGGGATGGGCAGCTGCTCATGAACTTTCCTAGGGAAGGAATTCAGGGGGCTGGTTGTGTCCTACTTTGATGAAAGCAGCCGGGGTGGGGAAGTCCCGTCACTTCCTGAGCTGACGGGCAGTCCAGTCCCACCAGGAGAGGGTAGTGCCTAGACAACAGGACCAGGACCACGGCCTTCTCTTTGGGCACAGAAATGGGGGAGAAGCCAGAAGCTGGGACGAGTGGGGACAGTGCTGGACAGCTTTGCCTGCAAGGAAGGAAACTGGACAGACAGAGCCTGGCTGCAAAGCCAGGGTACAGGGGTGCCGCTCGGCCTCTGCGGGGCCCTTCTCCAGCACTGGCTCCCGCCGACTCCGCCCCACGTTCTCCCTGGCGCTCACTGACAGCTGCTGACGCCTCCCTTTTTTTATCCTTCAAAGAAATATCCACGGTGGGGGCTGGAGAGGGCACATGCCCTCGAGGCTGAAAAACTAAGTGCTCACAGGAGAAAAAGTCACAGCAGAGGAAAAAGCGTGAGTAAAGTGCTCACGACATGCCCAGCGCTGTTTGTGGTGGAAAAGTCGGTTTTATCTAAAATGGGAGGTCTGCTTCTGGCGGGACATGAATTTGCCTGTCACCTCTTCCACGAAATGGTCCAGGGAACTCCGCGGCGCTGACTGCAGTCCTCAGCGTGGGAGCCTCTGTGCCGCCCTCACATGACACGGGATCGGGCCCGGTGGGCAGCTGGCCCACTCCAAGGCCCCGGGGCGCCCACAGCACACCCGCCGCCTCCAGCCAAACGGCCCGGACGACGGATTTGTTACTGGATCCACAACACTGACCCGCCTGATGACGCGGACTCCCCAGGGAGCCCCGGCTCGGGGCGTTGGGTGGAAATTCTGGCTCGTGTCCTCAGGGAATTCGCCAGCTAAGTGAAGAGCAAGTCCACATCCACACAGATACGCCGGAGCGGCTCGTGGGCTCGCAGCTTCTCCTCAAACAGAAGGATGGATGCTACACTTTAGGGACGTCACGTTGGGGATTGTTTTTGGGGTTTGTTTCCTTTTCCGTCCTTGAAGGGAGAATCATTTCGTGGGTTCCTCTGACTACGGTTAAAACGAACATCACCCTGTGAAAAGCAAATCGTGACACAGCCAGCCTCCTTTCGGTGTCAGCGAAGGGTTCGTCAGCTCCTGTCCTTCGACGATCCTGTTGGCGGGACAGGGAACAGGGCAGAGGCCGTGACAGGCGGGCGGGAAGCCGGGGCCGCAGGGGCGTGAGGCGAGGCCGGAAGCCGGGCCACGGGCGGTGAGGCGAGGCCGGAAGCCGGGCCGCAGGTGTGTGAGGCGAGGCCGGAAGCCGGGTCACGGGCGGTGAGGCGAGGCCGGAAGCCGGGGCCGCAGGGGCGTGAGGCGAGGCCGGAAGCCGGGTCACGGGCGGTGAGGCGAGGCCGGAAGCCCGGGCCGCGGGCCGTCAGAGGCGGGCGGGAAGCCGGGGCCGGCACGGCTCCCGCTCACAGGGGCCTGGGGCCTAGAGGTGAAGGAAGCGCCTGGCACCGAGTCTGACCTCCAGACCCTGCTCCTGCGGTGCGGAAGGAGCGTGCACAGGCGTCGGGGCCACGGGAGGCCTGAGCGCTGCCTCGGCCCGCCGTGGAGCAGGCGGGAATCCCGCGGGCGGGCCTGGGGCGCGCGGAAGCCTCGCTTCCCGGCTCTCGGGACGCAGTGTTTCTGGGGGTTCCTGACCCGGAGAGACCGAGGAGGAGGGAGAGGCCCGCGGGCCCCACTCTGACGCTGTCTGTGTCCCCAGGCCTGGACGCGCGGCAGGCGCAGGTGGTGGTCCTGTCCTCGGGGACCAAGTGCATCAGCGGCGAGCACCTCAGCGACCAGGGGCTGGTGGTGAACGACTGCCACGCGGAGGTCGTGGCCCGGCGGGCGTTCCTGCACTTCCTCTACACGCAGCTGGAGCTGCACCTGAGGTGAGCGGCCGGGCCGGGCTGGGGCGGGCAGACACCGCGTGCCCAGCTCAGAACACGCTCCCCGCCGTCCCAGCGCAGGCTGAGCCGGGAAGCGACCCTTAATTCAGACCGGGGACATCCCTGGCACGGCGGCAGAGCCACCGTGCGGGCTGCGGAGATGCTGAGATTCCAGGCTTCCTCCTTACCCCGAGAGCCGGGACGCACGCCAAGATCCTTCTCCTGTTTGTGTCAGCGAAGGCGGCGGGGCCCGTGTTTACCGGGAGCTGGTTACAGGCCTGGCGCTGTGCCGCCAGCTGGGGGGGTCCACAGACAGGTGCGCCTGTCACCTGCCCTGCGTGGGAACCGGCACGGGGGAGCGGGTCCAGGGCGTCCGGGGAGCTGACAGGCTCCGCGCCGGGGCCCGGGCTTGCGGCACGTTTGCCGGGGGTCCTGGGGGAGGCGGCTGGGCCGTGCGGGGCACAGAGGTCGGAAGGCTGCTGGACGCTTCAAGCGCTTCCTGCAGAGATGTCTGTTCCGTTTCCTGCGTGATCGCAGGGTCCTACAGAACACAGTCCATCACCCACCGGGTAGAACGTGCAAATCCGGCAAGACCGGCAGAAAGCAGCCAGCCAGGAGGCAGGGGAGCAAACACCGAGAGGAAACGCAGGCGCCTTGTTCAGGGCCCGCTCGGTTGAACTTTGTGGCTGTTGGGGGTTTTGCAACAGGCCAAATCCTTCCCCATCAGAGACAGGCTGGGGCTTCTCCTGCCCCACCTGGGTCATGGCCGGATGAAGAAGGAAAGCCGTTTCCGCATGGCTCTCTATGTCCACCTGTGCTAGTAACTGAGCCCGGGCTTCCTAAAGCTCCTTTCCTCCTAATCAAACACGAACTGCCCACCTACGCCACATCAAACCCGTAGTCCACTGTGAGGTATGGCCATGAGCAGCACTGGCAAATCCCCAGAATCACACTTCTATGGACAGACAAATGTGGTTAACAGCAATGGAAAAAAATGGCTTGGGAAAAGATCATGGTGGGACCAGGTGCGGTGGCTCATGCCTGTAATCCCAGGTCTTTGCAAGGCCAAGGCGGTAGATCGCCTGTGCACTTCAGCCTGGGCAGCAACAGAGCAAGACCTATCTTTAAAAAATAATAATAATAAGTCTGACAGGTGAATGTCGAGAGGGGGCAAGAAGGCAAGGTTTCTGCCAGTCATGTGCGCATTCATGTGGTTTCATTGCTGGTGCAGAGAAAAGACCCTATGGGGTATGAAGAAGAAAAAACTTGGGGACCGGGCGCAGTGGTTCGCACCTGCAATCCTGGCACTTTGGGAGGCTGAGGTGGGCAGATCACTTGAGGTCGGGAGTTCGAGACCAGCCTGGCCAACATGGTGAAACCCCATCTCCACTAAAAATACAAATATTAGCCAGGCGTGGTGGTGCACTCCTGTAATTCCAGCTACTAGGGAGGCTGAGTATTGCTTGATGCTTAAGGCAGAAGAATTGCTTGAACTCAGGAGGTGGAGTTGCAGTGAGCCAAGATCATGCCACTACACTCCAGCCTGGGCAACAGAACAAGACTTCATCTCAAAAAAAGGCAAAAAAAAAAAAAAGAAAAAGAAAAAAACAGTAAAACTTGGGGGAAAACTCTACAAAATAGGACCCAAGCGTTCAGTAGGTTGAAACGTTTCTGGTTTGGTTTGTAATAAATGACCCCAAACCTCTTTGTGACCCTAGCACGCGGCGCGAGGACTCCGAGCGATCAATCTTTGTGCGGTTAAAAGAAGGCGGCTACCGGCTGCGGGAAAACATCCTCTTCCATCTCTACGTGAGCACCTCCCCCTGCGGAGACGCGAGACTCCACTCCCCCTACGAGATCACCACAGACCGTAAGAGACAACACTTTTACCTCCTGTAGGCCGACAGGCCCAGGCTCACTCTACCAGGGACTCTGTCCTGGGCTTTCCCAGGCCACTGTGGGGGCACCGTGTGCCCCAGCCTTTCGGTGCTGGAAGGATTGCGTCTGCAATTGGTGGAATAACCATGCCTTCAAAATCTTAGTCTGAAATGCTCAGGTGATTGGCAGAAAAGTAGTCTGAGGCCTAAAATTAGCTACCTAATTGCCGTAGTTCTTTGCTTTGTTTTAATAACTCATAAAATCCCTGCGTCCCAGGCTGGGAAAATGGAATGAAGAGAAGGCCAGTGAGAGTTAGGCAGACTGGGAACAAATTCAGACTGGCTCTGCTTGCCTTCGCTCACAGTGTTGGGGAGAAAAAGCTCAGCTTTTGTAACCAAACCAGGGATGAGTGATTCCCTGCAAAGGGGTCTTCCCAGGTAAACTATGAAGTTCCATTGCAAACCCACCCTGTGAGTGTTTATCAGTGGATGTGGGACAGAAAGCATCCACACGGCCTCCACCCCTCTGTCCTCTCCATCAGCAAAGGGCAGTGATACTGTGAATGCCAGGGTCAGAGGGCAGGGTGTGGCTCTGCCTTGATGCCACCCTTGACATCAGCATTTCCATGAGAGAAAAGGTGCTGCAGGCGAACTCCTCTCATTTTAATGATGAAATCCTATTGCTTAGTGCTGTCTGCATATGTCATACATGCATATGTATATGCCACATACACCAGACCTGTGCCACATACACTGTACACACATGCCACACACACCACACACGCCACACACACCACACATACCACATACAACACACACACCACACATACAACACACACACCACACATATACCACATACACCTGACACATACCACATACTGTACACACATACCCCACACACCACATACGCCACACACATATCACATATACTACATATCCACACCACACACTGCCTGTCCCAGGCAGGTCTTTCAGTGCAGGCAATGAAGTTAAATCTATGTGTATGATTCGGGGTCCAATCCTGATACAGGAGGAAATCTCTGGTGGGCATACATGGACAGCACACTACTACTAAGGCTTGGCTTTGACCTGACTTTCCCCCAGTGAAAAGCTACATGGTATTTTAATTACCAAGGTAAAGAAAAATAAGTGTTTTTTTAGAGCCCTTCTGTGTCCCAGGCTTGTCATGCAGCCTCCACCAAAGATAAGAACATGCGTGGGGTAAAGGTGTTTTTAATCCCACGTGAGCTTAGCCTGATTCTCCACCCCTCAGATCGGATGCTGGCCCAGAAAAACTTCTCCTATTTGCAGGCTTCCCTCCAGCCCCACTACTTTCTCCTTGGGGAATGGCTGGAAAGCGTTCTCTGTAAGTGGATTCAGGTGGCATTTCCACACCCTTTGGAAATGAGATGGGAGAATCCTGTCAAACTAGGAATGAAGAAAAGGAAGCTGGTTCCACTCAACGACTTTTACAGGAACAGCCTGCAGGAGGGAGAGAGGCAGGGGCAGCCTGTGCACCTGAGGAGTGGACACAGCCCTCCCCAAAGGGAAGTGGGCCCAGTGCGGCCCCACAAGATGACACAGAGCATCCCCCACCACCAGGCCAGCTCAGGAGCAGAGACAGAAAAACTGCCAGGAGTAGCTTCTCACCGGACAGATTCAGTGAGCCAGAGCTACATGATACGGACTCACCCTATAAAACTGAAATCTGGTCCGTTGGACAGCTACTGGGAATTCTCTTTCCATTCCTCTTGAAAGGGTTGGCATCATAAAAACCCAGCTAGGGGCCCTTAGACTCGAGAGGAGAAGTCTCGCCAAATGTTTGGGGCCAGCACTAATTCATCCAGCTTCTTCCTTGGCTAATGTGTCCCTAGTGGGAGTTGGGAGAGGGCCAAGTGAGAACAGCAGGAGCCTTGTCCATGCCAGAGACCCCGTGGTCTCCCCAGGGGACAGTTCTAGCTCATTGGGCCTCCCACGTCTCTGTACATCGATCACCAACTGCAGCCTCTCCAGCCAGCCCTCAGTTCCAACTGCAGTGTCTGTGGTTTAGAAAAACAAATACATTCTCTGAGGCACCCTGGGGTTCACTTCCAGACACAGATGTCTTTTATTTCATGTTGCTTTTAAGAAGTGACAGGTGCTGGTAGGAGAAAAAAATAAAACATTTTTGTTTCATTTTTGCAGCAAATATGCCAGGCAAAATTGAGAAACTCCTGCCTGTGCTTGCCTCTATGTTGGGCTGGTGCCGCTTTTCCGCTCTCCTATCAGGGGAGCTTGGAGAAGGAAGGCACTTGGTGACTTTCTAACAGGGACTCGTCTGCCAGAGTCACTCAGTAAAGGCAGGAGAGCCCAAGTGCCTGCTGTTCTCTGCTTGGAAAGGAGCCTTCAGAGAGCTGGCTCTGCATCCTTCGAACCCCCTGCAAAAGGCAGAGACGCTCAGGAACAACTCCTGCCATTTCCCCTGCAGAGAGTTGCATTAAGCTCCTTTATGATAAGGGGCAGGGGTCTCCACGTTGCTAACTCAGGCAGTGTGTTTCCTTGTTATCCTTTAAAGAGGGTTGGGCCATGGATAAGGGGATGCAAGTGGCGAGGATCTTGCTGTGAGGGGCTCCTCCAGGGCTAGCCAAAAGCAGAGTCAATGGTGACAAGCCCCCGAAAGAAAGGCTGGCGGCGGGAGCTATATGCCTCCAGTTATCACTGTTCACAGAGGCCTGTGGCTGGCACCACCTCCCTCCTATGGGTTAACCCTGCAGAAACCCAGCAGCACTGCCCCTCCAATTCAGAGGCCAACACCCCCAAAAGAAGCCCAGGGAACCAGGAAAGCCCTGAAGGCCGTGGTGTCATTCTCACAAATGCAGAGGCCACAGAGTGCAGAGCACTTAGTCCCTTCACCAAGACATTCACTCGGGGCCAGAGGAGTTCATCTGAAACAGATGGAGCAGGTTTCAGTCTTCTCAAGTGCTCTCTGCCTCTGGCCCCTTCTGGACCTGTCCTGTGTCCTCTCACCAGCATGATGCTTGGTCCTGGTCACTTCAGCTCACTGCTTCCTCACTCCTCCATTGCATTGAACTGTGGCATCTCCACAGGGGCCACGCTTGTTAACCTCTCTCACAACTGTGCCAGATTTCTTCTCTCTCTCTCACACATACGTACCCACATATAACACAAATACACATGCATAAGCACATTTGTACATGTAAACACATAGAAAAGCACATGCACACACGCATAAGCACGTGCACACAGACGTACATAAGCACGTGCATAAACATGCATAATCACGTGTTCACACATGCAAAAGCACATGCACACACTAACATGCATGAGCACATGTGCACATGCAAACGTACGTAAGCACGTGTATGCATGCATAATCACGTACATGCATGCAAAAGCACATATACACAAACATGCATAAGCACATGTACACAAGCACACAACAGGTATCCAGTGCATCAGGATCTGTCAACATAACTATGATGTGACTAAGTCAAAGAGAAGTTTGGTGCCCTAGATTGTTCCCCCTTCCTTCAAAAATGAACACAAGAGTAGAGCATAAGAAAACATTTCTGTAGATAAGTTTAAATAATCGTTACAGTAAGTGTCATGTAACCAAAGGCCAAGGAGAGAAGCAAGTCTGATGTGGAGTTTCTAGGCGCACACTTCTGATTCCCCAGTGGCTGTTGAGCGGCTGCCTCCCAGCAGCAACCTGCTCTGACAGCTTAGCAGGACCAGGAGTTTCCGGAGCCCCAACCACCTGAGGCCTAGGCTCAGGGGCTTCAAGTCTTAGACACAACACAAGGGCCCTGGAGTTGCCATCAAGCCCTACTTCCCTAGGGTGCATGTGGCTTGAGAAATTCTAGATGTCCCCATTTTATTTTTCCCCTCAAAAACATTTGTCTAGCTAGATCATAAATTCCCCATTCCTGGAGGCCTTAGACATGGTATCAGTGCCAATTGGTCTCAGGTATTTTGGGAGCTGTGTTGCCTGTGAGCTTTGGAAGGCATTAGAGTTTGCTGTTTCCATCCCTGGCTTATCTGTCAGGGTGCCAGGGCAGTGTTTACCAATGCAGCTACCGCCATGCACTCTAGCGGAGATTCTGATGCATACAGGGGAGAGAGGGGTCCAAGGCTCTGCAGTTTTCTGAGCACAGGTCGGGTTTTGAGCCACCAGATTTGAACTCCTTAAATCGTCTCCTCAGACTGGGCATTTGTTGCCTTGCTGGCTTCATAGAAAGGGGTTGGAGGCATGGACGGCCTGGTAGCCTGTCTATCTGCAGAGGCCAGGCAGAGCCGGCTCTGTGGCATCATGGACAGGAAAGAAACTTGTCTATGGTGTATCGTATGCAGAAGAGGGGAAGCTCTACAGACTTGGTCTTCAATGTCCTGAGACCCAGGCCTACTCTGTTCATCTCAGGTGACTCAAAACTATCATATGTGTGGCTTTTCCCTGGACCTAGAAAGGCCAGGTCAGTTAAGGTAGGGACAAATGCCTGAAAGACATTTCTTCCCACAGCCAGGAGAACATGCTGTGTGTTTATGTCAGAGTCAGGTTTCCAATGACTGCTCTCAGCCCAAACTCAGAGAGGGTAACCGGTTCCTTTGTGGCCTGAGCAAGAACTCAGGCAGTTCTGAAAGGGCCCAAATGGAGCAGAAGATGCGGACCTCAGCACTTCACTGTGGTTGAGCAGCTCTTCTCTTCCCAGCCCACCAACAACCTGCCTGCAGATTCTTCCTTCTTGGCATGGTTTTTAAATAGCCTGGCAAATTCAGTTCTTACAGCCATTTTCTGAGAACTTATCCGCTTAAATTCTCCAGTCTGTATCCAGAAAATGCCAAGAAAAATAAATTATATCATATATTTACCTGCAGGTTCATGCTAAAAGCCTAGTACGTTTGTTCTAACCCAGTTCCATTCATCGAATAGAAAGGCAGTTAGAGATTTAACCAAAATCTCATAAGAAGTCAGGGAATATAAAATACAGTACCTTAA